AAGAACACCTTTTGGGTGTAAACACGTTATCCTAGGAGACTTTTGCTTTTGTTTGTTTTTGTAATAATAAAGCTTTGAACCCAGGGCTTCAAGCTTGTTAATCAAGTTCTATGCCACTGAGCCCAGGTCACACCAATGCACTGAACTTTCTTCTAAACTGTTAGTCAATAAGCCATGGCTTGTTCGGCTTGAAAAGCAGCACCTGTGCAGAACTTGGCACGCTCACTGGGAGTTGTATCAGGAAGTCTCATTTTACTGAGCTAAGGACCACCACAGCCACAATTGAGGACTCCCTCAACCCACGTCTCATTTCCATTAAGAGCAGAGTTTCCTCCTGATTTGGTCTAGCTGAAGAGTGGGTGTTTAATAAACCCTCAAAAGGAAAGGCTTTATTTAAAAGACTTTACAACTCCATTGTAGGGGCTGGAGAGATGGCTCAGTGTTAAGAACACTGGCTGCTCTTTCAGAGACCTTGGGTTTGGTTCCCAACACCCACATGGTGCCTAACAACCATCCCTAATTCTAGTTCCAGGGTGTCTGACACCATCTTCTGGCCTCTGTGGGCATTGCATAACAGGAGTATACTGACATACAAGCTGGCAAAATACTCATACACATAAAAACAAACAAGCAAGCAAACAAATAACAACAAACCCTGTTGTCCTGAGCTGTTCAACCATGGAGAATAAGGACCTCACTGTACTGTGAATCCTTGGACTGTGTACAAGTACAGGTCAGTTAATTTTCAGGGATAGAAAGAGAAATTGTACCAACATCTGAGAGGTGGCAGAACTTGGTGACAAGAATTTTTTTCAAATTGGAGCCCCGCAGCAATATGAGTGGGTAAAATCTAGAAAAGCATTTGAGAAGTGAGTCCCACTGAAAGTGATGTGAACTAGCCAAAAGAGGAAACCACGGAGGAGACCAGGGAGAAGTTACGAACTCCACTGTTTGGTAGCACTGCCCCCTGAGGAGAACAGCTAAGAGAGATGTTTGCTGCTACTTACTGTTCCTAGTCAGGAAGGCGGAATCTCTGTACTTGACCATGAATTGTAGAGTTCACACAGTTTACAGTGATATGTTAAGGCAGGCAGGACACCCTATCAAATGTCAGACACATCATGATCTGCATGGGGCCTTCATTGGGGAAAAGCACAAACCCAGGGGACAGGGAAGATACAGAGATGGAAGATGAACCCAGAGCCTTGTCATGCCAGTGGATCTTTTAATCACAGAGAGCAACACTGGACACTGCTAAGAATTTGACATAGTCTCACCTACGGGGAAGATCCCAGTATCCCCATTTGACTGATGGAAATATTAAGGCTCAGAGCAGGTAACAGCTATCCTGTCCCATAGCTACTACACAGCAGAGTTAGAACACTCAAAGGACCTCATCCCATCTCTTCATTAACTCAAACCCCTTGTATTCATCCTCAGTACACCTGCCACTAACCGCTTTGTCCAACATACCCTAATACTAGGAGAGACCTTAATACTGGGAGAGATTCATCCATGTACAGCTCTCTGTTCCTTGTAGGAACTTATCAGAGGTTCAGTGGATGAATTAACTGGAGGCACAGAAGCTGTTACTTAAAGTGCTGCCTCCAGGCTGGCTGGCCATGCTCACAGTCCAGCTACTTGGGACATTGCAGTAGGAAGACTTGAGCCTAGGTGTCCCAAGGTGTCCCAGACCAGCCTGGGCACCATAGAGACACCATGTCTCAAAAAAAGAGGGTATGTGTGTGTGTGTGTGATGCTGGAGATATAGCTCAGTGGGAGAATGTCTAGCATGTACAAGGCCTGCACCCAGTCCTCAGGAACACAATACATAAATGAATAAAATAAATACCTAAGTCTATAAAATTTTAAATGAATAAAATGTCTCAGGAAGAAACTCTATTCAACAAAGTCCACATGGAAAAGTAACTACCCTGTTTCAAAAATATTTACATCTCCCCATTTCCAGGCCACCCAGAATGTGGTGGCCTGTGGTGAGGGGCAGGGACAGGAACCCTCTTTTGCCAGGCACTGGGCACTCTCTCATTAGCTTTGACTCCAGGGGAACAGCTGTGTGAGAATTATTTCCACTAAAGGCCTCTTCCTCAGGACTGACAAAGATGACCAGTTCCACTTTTCCCAGTCACAGGAAAAAGGAAAAAAAAAAAAGCATTCGGGTGTGTGTGCAGGAGAGGGAGGGGCAGGCAGTGACTCTCTCAGTCATTCTCTTGCTTCACCAGTTGGTGGTTACCAGGCTCCCAGACACTTCCTAATGCCAGACAAATGCCCCAAGCCTAGGCATGCCTGGTTTGTTGATCTATTCAACTGATAGCCTCCACCTCTTCTGAGGAGAGCCCGCTACATTGCTAATCAAACACAACATTGTTCACTTCACAGAAGGGAAGAAACGGAAGGTTTGTCTCAGACCCACAGTGTTTCAGGATTCATTGTATCGATAATATATCTAATCTAAATAAATAAACATTTGTTCATTTAGAGACTTCAAAGTAATAAGTTGCTACAAAACTTGGTCTTCTAGAGAGGAGGCTGTTTTGTATAAAGCTTGTACTGTACAAAAATCCAGGGAGGGAGGGGGATTAGAAAGTTAGAAGTCAATAAAAAGGGAGGGAAAAAAAGGCCCCAGGCACTTGATGCCTGGAAATGATGTAAGATTCAGCCACTCCTCTGTTAGAACTACAACCAATGTTCAGGCATCCACAGCAGCTGCTGTCCAAATGTCAGCGCCAGCCCTGTCGAAAGAGCTTGAAAGCCACTAGGCTCGGGAAGGATGTGCACCCACATTTTCCCCAAGCACTCTCAGGAACCTGGCAACAGGTAATATGGCAACCTTTGACTTCTAGAACAGCGAGTGGGATAATTTCAGGGAATAAATGGATTGTTTTCTAGCCGGCTGCATCTCTCTTCCCGCCCCCGCCCCCGCACCCAACCCCCTCCCTTTTTAGCTAAAGTCTGAGAAAATAAACGCCTGCTGCGGGTTAGCCTGCTCTCGGGCATCCCCTGGTGGCGGATCTCGGAACTACATGTAGATGCTCAGCGTCCGGAGGCTCAGCCTCTAGGAATCTGCTTCAAGGTAAGTGGCGCTGTGGAAGTGGGTGGACATCTTTGCTGGACTTGTCTTCCAGCCAAAATATTTTCCTTTTGATCTAAGCACCTTAACTTTTCTTCCCCCCGCCCATATGCCGGGTGAAACCTCTGGACTGGGACCCAGAAACAGTGAGGGTGAATACGTGGAATTCCCAGAGCAAGGCACGGTGGCACAGGCCTGTGATTCCTCTCTCCTCAGGCTGTTATGAGAAGATCAGGGTTCAAGCCCAGCCTGAACTATATAGCCAGACATTGTCTCCAAAGACATCAGCAAAACGGAGGATTCCTGTTGCAGGAGACTCTCATTTTCTGTTTGTATCTTGCTAAATTTAGGCACCTTTCTCTCAGACCTGAAACTTTTACTAGTAGACCTGGCTGACTTCCCATTTGCAGGGATTACTTAAACTTTCCAAACTGCCAGCCTAGCTACTCAGAGAGCAGGCCTCCAAGCCCCTCCTTCTTACTTGTAACAGTGTGTGTGGGGCCCACACCCAAGAAAATGCCATGGGCCATGCTTTTTGCCTGCCTCCACCTCTCTGAGCTGCTCAGCCTGCTCCTTCTGCTGTACAGGAATGGAGGACCACAGCTGTGAGCTTCTGGTAGCCCAGACTGGGCACTCAGCATTTTTGCTTTTGGAATGGTAACTCGAAAATCAAGTTCAGATCAAATGATCTGTTCTCTTCAGAAATTTCCATTAATTAACTAAATTAGAGGATGCTGAATGGCGCTGAGGGTGGGGGATATTTTAGAAGGTTCAGACCAGGGGTTAAGGTCTGGGGCCTATAATGTAGACTTTTAATGAAGTTTGACAATCAGTTAACTAATACTAGAAGCTGAAAGTTACCATATGTGAAAACAGTTGAGGCCCAAAGTCAATCATTTCAACTGAGAGCATCTTGAACATTTGACTCTAGACATTGACTAGTATTTGCCCAGACCTTTTAAGGTTGAAGATTAAAAGCCTGGGGCTCTGACTAAGCATGGTTCCACCACTGGCGAAGGTGAATTGTAGCCTTCATAGAGCTGGGGCACATGTGTTGAAATCAGAGACTTTCAGACCTCAGGCTTACTAATTTCCAGGGCGGGAGTGTTGTTTCCATTTGGGATTTGATCAGGACTTAACGCTTCATTTTCCCGGCTTTGCTAACAGGTGCTGTTGAGTCATCTGTGTATACAAATGACTGCCCAGGCCGTTTCATCACTGAAGATTTCATTTCCATTTGTTCTGTGACTTAATGAAGTGATTTCTACCATTGAGTCACATAGATCACTTCCTCCTAGATCATGGGATTTTTTAACTTCAGCACTTGTAACCATGTGTATGTTTTTCAAAATGTGTCTTCACCAGGACTGCCGGCTTCCTGGGTTGAATGAACTGTTTACAGAAGGGGAAGACTTAGGGCCCAAGGTCAGGGTCACAGAATTATAGAAGGTTTCCTGTTTGGGCAGCTGTCTACCAAACCCTCACATTAGGCAGCCTGGGCCTTGATGAAAGACAGAATGCCAGTTGGGTGTGGTGGCACACACCTGTAACCCAGCACTAGGCAAGAATCACGAGTACAAGCTCAACCATAACTACATAGAGAAATTCAGCTTTACCAGGAGCCTGTGATGGGAGTGAAGCCAGGAACCAGGAAGGAGACTATTCTTTGAAGTGCTCATCGGCTAGCTTTCATTTCTGGTCAGATGACACTTCTCAGCAATGTGGTTGACTCTATATGTTTATTTAACTGAATTTTCTCTTTTCCTGGTCAGACTGAGAGAAGAGAATTCACCAAGGATGTAAGAAACACAAAGAAAGGCACTTTGGCGTGTCCTATTCAGAGGTGTCACTGTGGTTCTTAGAATAGGTATGTCACATAGCCATACCATGGTAAAGATTTGTTACATGAAGGAATGAACAGGAATGAGAAAGAGACTTCCTGGAGAAAAAGGAAATAGGACCATCAGGAAAGAAACTTCATCAGTCACAAGGGTAGGAGTAATATGGACATCTCAGCAAAGCTGTTCTCTGTGGCCATGGGTGTCACAATCCAGCCATCCCACACTGTAACCACCAGTTCAGCAAGCACCTGCAGGCTCTTCCAACTTTGAATGGGAAATACTTGGGAGTGCAAATTGAAACTGTACTGAACACATGTAGACTTTGTTGCTCCCTAAGCAATGTAAAATAACAACTATTTGCCTGGTGTACATGTATATATTCCCAGCACTCATATATTCCCGGCTGAGGCAGGAGGATTACAACTTAAAAGCCAGCTGGACTACATATTGAAATCCTGTCTCAAAAAACCAAGCCGTGGGGATGTAGCTCAGTGGTAGAATGCTTACCTAGCCCGTGAAAGGGCCTGGGTTTGATCACGAGAATCACAAAAACAAAAAAGCCCCAAGTATTTACAAAGCATGTGTATTAGGTATTGAAGTAATCTCAAAATAACTTACAGCATGTTGCAGGATATACATGGGCTTATATGCAAAGGACACACAAGGACGGGAGCAGCTAAGGATTCTGGTACCCTTAGGGGGAAGGGAGTGTTCCATGATCAATCCTCCAAGGATACCAAAGGACAGCTACATAATCTTTTGCCACCAAGGCCCACTTCTGTTTAGCACTAGTCAGATACTGTCCAAGTACATATATGACTGGCAAACTTTGGACATGGAGCTCGCATGTCAAGTGCCCATATAATGTGATGTCACCTGTTGAGGCTGAGGCTGTAGTTCAATACACCTAGCATACATGAAGCCTGGAGTCCTATTCCCAGCATGCCCAGAAAGAAAAATTTAGTTTCTGCGCTCACCTCCAGTTTACCCATCTAACACCCTCCTTTCTCTCTGGCAGTTCCCATGGGCACTGACTGGACAGCTGCTGAGAGGCTTGGGACACTAAACACTATATCTGTGTGACCACTTTTCTTCCCCTTAGTTCCTTCCACTCATTATTATTATTGGACTTTTGCTTGTTTATTTTGAGACAGGGTCTCATGTAGCTGAGGTTGGCCTTGAACTCCCTGTGAATGAACTTATGATTCTCCTGCCTCCACCTCCAAAGTGTTAGCATCACATGAATCATCTTATTCTTCCTATCCTGTGCTTATCTTTGTGTGTATACAAGATGGATACAAGATATCTGGGGCTGGAGAGATGGCTCAGTAGTTAAGAGCACTGACTGCTCTTGAAGAAGACCTAGGTTTGAATCCCAGCACCCACGTGGTAGCTAACAACTGTCTATAACTCCAGTTCCAGGGGATTCAGCGTCCTCTTCTGTTCTCCCCAGGCACTGCACAACACAGGTGCACTTACATACATGCAGGTGTAATACTTATACACCTAGAATAAATAAATAAAATTACAAGATGGATATCTGAGGGCCAAGGATCTCTTCCCCCCCTCTCTTTCTCTCTCTCTCTGTATATCTTTTTATTTATTTTTAGACAGAATTTCACATAGCTCAGGTTGGTCTACAACTAACTACGTAGTAGCTGACCTTGAACTCCTGATCTTTCAGCCTCTACCTCCTGTGTTAGAATTCCAGACATGACACGCTGTCTGGTTTCTAAAAAATGTTGTTGGCTTTTTATTCTATTTGAAAATGTTTTATTTTTGAGATAAGGTCTCTTGCAGCTCAGGCTGACCTGGGGCTTGAAGATAACCTTCAACTCTTGATCTTTCTGCCTCCTCCTGAGTGGTGGGAGTACAGCCACGCACCAATACACCTCTTTATGTGGTGTTGGGGTGAACCCAGGGCTTTGTGTATGCCAGGCAAACTCCCAATTGAACTACATCCCCAGCCTAGTTTTTTATTATTTGGGCGCGGGGAGGGGGGGGTGTGCTTAGCATACATGGTGTGGTTTTTATCATGGCATCTTCCCAAGAACCTCTCTTTAAAACATTTTTTTTCTGGATCTGTTTTTATTTTATGTATATGAGTGTTTTGCCTATATGCACATAAACGCACCCATGCGTGCAGTGCCCACAGAGGTCAGAAGAGGGTGTTGGATCCCCTGGAACTGGAGATAGCTGCCATGTGGATGCTGGGAACTGAACCTGGGTCCTCTGCAAGAGCAACCAGTGCTCTTAACCACTGAGCCATTCCTCTAGCTCCTCTCTACCTCATCTTAAGTGTATCACCTAACCAGTGGGACCTTGGGGTCCAGAATACTAGGACAAACCCGAATGGACCCACAGCCTGCCTTGTGCCTTGGTCTGGTGAATAGATTGGAGCTGGGGTGTGCCCACCAGAGGCTGAAGCCGTTTGCAGTTGTTGAGGGTTTCTATATTGGAGCAGGGATGGAACACCCAGAGTTCATCTGTCTAGCTTCAGGAAGTGAGAGGCCTGTTTACAAACTAAAACACATCACATCTATGGAGTCCAGTCCCGCTAAGTCGGAACTGTGACTTAGGTTGGCGTTTGCCAGGAACCAACCCTTCCCTGGCCCATTGCTTTGGCTTTGGAGAGAAGGCAGATCTATCACAGCTGCTGGTGCTGTGGCCTGCGGAAGGGAACAGGGCCTGGAACCTGGCTTCACCGGCAGTCAGAGCTTCAGAACAAAGCCAAAGCCTCAAAGCTTGGAAAACAGGATGTGTGTATAGAGGTGAAGAAGAAAGAAGGTTGCTGTTGGTTTCAGCATGATGAGGAATAATTAGCGGGTGGGGAGGCTGGGCCTGTGGGACTGTAGGCAGCCCTGGGCTGTGTAGTTAAACAATTATTTACCCTACTCCTCTTTTCCCTCCTCTTAAACCTTTCTTTCCAAAGGAAAAACTACCGGTGGTAACCATCGAACACTGTATTGGCCCCTTGGCCCACAAAGGATGCCTGCTCCTCAGGGATATGCAACAGGATTGGCAGAACGGATGAAACACACCTTATTATCTGTGTCATTGACAGAGGAGGCCACAGATTGAGAATGTGTCCCGGTGCCCCTCTGGCTCTCTCCCACCTCATGACCATTGACGTGTTCCCCACAGACTGTATTTAAACTGCTACCCTAGTGGGCTGGGGTGTAGTTCAGTGGTGCCTAGCATGTACAGGGCCCTGGGATAGATCCTCAGCATGGGAGGCAGGGAGGAGAGAGGCTGTTAGGTGCTTATCATCTGCCAAATTTCAATTAAAAATCCAACCTACAAACCTTTTGAAGTCAGAATTAAACTTGGTATCAATTTACTCTCCCCAACCCTCTCCTCCTCCTCATTCACTGAACGTTAATAAAGCTGTAGCTGCTCTCATTAAATTCTTAAAACAGCCCTGCTGAGGAGGAGGGATGGTTTTAGTTCAGCAGATGAAAAGAAGGCTGAGAGTTGCCTTGCCCCGGCTCTAACAGGATGGACTTGGCTGGGAACTGGGTTCTTCCCACTGAAGTCTCCACACTTTCAAAGAGCTGCCTCCTGACTCTGTTCTTAAGACTCTTCTTTGAAGCTGGGCATGGTGGTGAGCACCTGTAATCTCAGCACTGGGAAGGTAGCAGGAGATTCAAGAGTTCAGGGCTAGGCTCAGCTACATAGTGAGTTTAAGGCCAGCCTGGGTTATGTGGGACCCAATGTCAAAACAACAATGACAAGAGATATTCCTTTGAACCCTGTGAGAACATGCTGTGTCCAGGAACCCATATTGGAAGCTCTCAGCAACAGTATTTGGAATGCAGGGCTTTGAGGATGTCAGCCAGCTGATAACGGTTTTGGGGTGATAAAAGGCCCACATCGCCAGTACTCTCTTGCAGAAGTAAGAGCTCCCATCAGGGGCATCCTGCAGTGGCTTCTCACTTTCTTTACTTTTGTCCCTGACCCTCAAGAGCTTAGTGGGTACACCAGGTCTTATATTTTTAAAGGGCCAAGGTCAAATTTGATAACAACTTTTCTCACATTGTCTGGTGGAGTCCTACATGTCCACTGGTTTATCACAGTGCAGAGTTTGTGACATACATTTTTGGTTTTTATTATGATGGTAATAGGGGTGCCTCTTTCCACAGGCTGGGATGATGTCTGTATAAATCCAGAATGGTACTGTATGGTGTGCCCCTGGGGGTAAACAGTGCACACTTACAAGGTTGTATACGTATTTTGAAAGCTTTTCTATCATTCTGTTTCACTTTTTCTCACCCCTCTACCCTGAGCCTGTAAGTGGAGCAAAATAAAGTAGCTCTTTTTTTTTTCTTTGCCCACTATGGCTTGTACTGTCAGGAGGGCGGGTCCATGCTAGGTTCATCTGGGGGCCGACTGATTTGATAGGATCAGGATCCTGGCTAGTTTGTCTTCAAAGGGAACTTTTCATTCATTAAAGCTGTACCTATTGCACAATTTGGGAATCACTTTTTAAGCGCATAATTCCAATCCAAGTGATAACTAAGATAAGCCTTATAACACAGCTTGACTTTCTGACTAAACTGAAGCGGGGTATAGCACTTGCTTAGTGTAATGGAGGCCCCCGGCTCTGACCCCAGTACTGCAAAACAATTCTCCCAAACTGATGTGTGGATGGACAGCTATGTTAGTGACCCGCACAGTTAAATAGATCAAACATCCGACATTTTTATGACCCCCAAACAAGCACTGCCTCCTGGTGTGGATTAGATTGAAAACGGCAATAAAACCTGTTTCCTTTTCCGGATTTCTACTGTCGTAAGTCCTATTTTATTAAACAGTAAGTCCGAAAGAGCAGTTACAAATATTGCAATTCTACTGAGCCGGAGGGTGCTAAACTCCGGCGTGTGGTATATGGTTGGTGTTGGTGGAACTGGCTTATTGTGGCAGTTTACCTGGCTCAGAGTCACTGTCAATGTGGCTGTGGTTCCAAACAACCTGCTGGATAAAGCCTAGGTGCAGGAATGCGGAAAAACTTGAGGAAAGTAGAGCTAGTGTGTGGATCGAAATTAACTACCAATAAAACCTTGGAAATTAGGTCAGGAGGGAAGAGAATTGTTTTGAAGGCCGCAGCCCCAAGGTGTGAGCGATAACCTTGTCAGGTCTGCAGATAAACGCAGGTCCTGTCACCCTCAGGCACCTGGCTGAGAGGCTATAAAACTGTTGCCTTATCTCCTCTGGGTGGAGCTAGGCAAAGCTCAGCCTGCAATAATTATAGCACTAGAATCGCGGTCCTCTACTGAAAACCTAGGGAGGGGTAAAGGAGAAGAAAAAATGGCTTAGGACAGGAAATTGTCTTTGTTTCTGTCCTTGGATTGAAAAAAGAAAGCAAAGAAGTTTTCCAAGCAGTGAGAAAAACAGCTGGGCTAGACTTCTCTCACCGGGGGTTAACAGGATTGCTGACAGTCAAGAAAAGAGGTTCAGGCTCCTGAAAACCCCAGAAATCTTCTTAGGAACCTTCCTTTCTAAATGTAAATGGCCGAGTCATTGCTTTGCTGAGGAGGAAAGGAAGTTACCAGCATACCGAGTGACTCATTCATTGCCCTTAGCTCCGGCTGTAGGATAAAAAGTTTTTACCAAAAGCAGCAACAAATCTGCTTTAAATACTAGCACTGTAAGGGAATTCCTCTCTGGTGGATGAATGCAGTCCACACAAAAGGGCCCCTGTTGACGTCTCATTTACAATCTCCCCCAGGACACCGACAAGACCGGTTCAATAAACCCGGCTCAGAAACACCTATTGTTCAAAACCTTCCACTAGCAACAGGCTAGCAGTACTCCCTACAGCTTTGTAAAAGAAGAGATTGAGGTGGAGGAACACTGGGACCGGAGAAGCTGTGAAAAGCAGCAAGAAAAAAGTCCTTTGACCCGATGCCGTCCCAGAGCGTGCATGCGGAATAAAGTTAATGGTATTTCCATATTTTTTTCCTAAGAAATGCCTAGTGACCGTGAGTTGTGAATTCAATGCCAGTTCTAGAAAGAAACTGCTGAATAAAAAGCCTATGCTCTGCCTAATTGACCGGTTCTCAGTCTTGCAAACTCCCTACAACCAGTCACAGCAGAGCACAGGTGAGTCTTTGATACGAGTTGTTTGTTCCAAGCAGAACACTCCAGCGCTTAAACCCACACCTGTCCGTAGAGGGCCTCCTCATCAACTGCACCATTGTGGTCTCTTTTTAAATAAACCTTAAAATCTGAAGTTCTATAATGCTGTGATTTGGCTATGACTCACATTAAAGAATACATTTGAGCTTACAAAAAACAGAGGTGGGATTTTTAAAAATACTTATTTTCTTTATCCTGCCTGCATAACACCTGACCCGTTAGCCTTTGGGCTCTTCTCCCCTGTCCTTGCATCATTCTAGAATCATTCCACACCTCAATTTGCCCCTTTCTGGGTCCCTCCCTAGAGCTTTGTTTATTAACTCCTCTGGCTGGAGTGTCAAAGCAACTACCTACTTCAAGTTTCAACTGCCGCTCCAGGTTGTGACTTATTATTAATGAGTCATGAGATCAACGGAGGTGAGTCACACAGTTTCACCATTTAGAAAAGGCAAATGATTAAATAGAAAATACCAGAGTGCTCTGTGGTTAGGAAACGTATTGTTGCATGAAACTCATTTCAGTGTGTTTGTCCTGATCTGTGTGGGCAGCAGGTCAAATTCATTTTGTTTATCAAAGTATTTGGAGAGTGACTTTTCTAATTGGTCTCCCTGGGTCCTTCTTGTTCCTGTTTCCAAACAGTTGTACATACTTTGACAGTTGAAAAATGTGGAACAAAGCCTGTCAACTGGGGCTTACAAATCTGTCCAGGTGGGGTAGGGGGGTGAGGGGGTGTCCCAGAGGAAGTTCATGCTGGCCCCCTGTTCCATAGCCTTCAGGCCGCATGAATCCCTCACTCATCCAGCCAATCAAGTTTCCTCCCTTTGAACCTGGGCGTCCTGTGTAGAGACATGCTTTCTGCCTCCTTCACCTGTGGCGGACATCTGCTTTGTTCTTCTAATGCCTCTCTGCTTCTTTTTGGAGCTCTGCAATTCTGGTGGGACAGGGTGGCCGTGGTATTCAGTTGCTTTCCCAGCTCCCTATTGGATTTTAAACTCCAAGTGGCCCTTCCAGAAATACCTGTCGGCAGATGCATTACGTTGAGTGTTGCCTAGGTGATTGGCTGAATTTCCATCCTACCTTCGGCTTGAAGAGAATACATGTATGTCAGAAGTCCCTCTTCAGGTGAGTTGGTGGAAACTGGTTGAATCTAATATGTAGCCAGCGTGACCATGGGAAGGCCATCTGCATGCTAAATGACACACCCTCCAATGCCATGACATTTGACAGTTGCCTTGGCAAGAGCCAGAAAGAACCATAAAAGGAGTGGGGAGAGGAAGGTCCCTAATTCCATGAAAAGGAAAATCTTCCCTTGTTCTCAGAAAAGAAATGAACGTTCCTCCTTAGTCAGCTCATCCCTTCCTCTTGTCTTTTACTCCTCTGTAACCTCCCAACCCCTAAGGTTTGAAAAGTTGATTGTCTATCACTCACTTTTCGTATACTTGGCCAAGAAGACTCCTTCACTACCCAACTGGTGTCTTGAGGTAGGCAGGATAGGCATGGTGGGGGAGGAGGGACCCTCAAACTACATGGCAGCTGGAGGCCAATGAAGTCACAGAGTTGTACGAGACATCATATCATGAGAGCAGAGCACCCAGTCGGTAAACTCAAGACCACTCCAAACCAACTGGGACCAACATGGCCAGAGATGACCTCCAACTGCCCTCTGCAGCACTGTAATGACATTTCCATAACTTTAGCCTAGCAGAATTGCCTGTCCACACATCTGATACTTGACATCTCCAGACTCCAAATGAGGACAGAAAAGAGATGCAAAACCCTATTCCAGGTTCCAGCCCCCACCTTAACACATGAATAATCCTCCTTCCATTGGTGGCCCATAACAAACAGACTTCAGGGCTGCCTTGCCCAGAAGCACTGCTTCCATCTACAGCCATCAGACTTAACACCTTTTTTCACTTGCAAAGTTAATGTGTTTAACAGGAATGTGGCACCTGGGCTGGGAAGCTGCCATCCAAAGACAAAAAAGGCTCCTATTCAAGAAGCTGAGTGAGACAGGACTTCAGAGGTGGGGATAGGAGGCCATCCTTGGCTATTTAGTGAATTTAAGGCTAGCCTGGGCCTCCAAAGATTGAGAAGTGAAGAGATTTTTCCCAAGACCAAACAGCTTTCTAGGAACAGGAAATTATCACTGTATGGATTTTTAACTTAATATTTATTTACTTAGTGTTGAGGATAGAATCAAGGGCCTGGAACTTGCTAGGCAAGAACTCTACAACTGGTAGCCAGTGAGATGGCTCTCAGCTCATGCGAGCACTTGCTGTGTAAGCCTGATGACATTTCAGTCCCCAGAACCCACAGCAGGAGAAGGAAACCAACTCCACAAAGTTGTCCTCTGACTTCCATGTGCACTCTGTGGCACAAGACTGTGCACATACGTACAATAAATAATAAACAAAAAACGAAAATAAAAAGCTCTACAAACTGAGCTACATCCCCATCCCTCCATAGATTTTTTTTTTTTGTCTTTTTGAGACAGGGTCTCCCTGTAGTCCTAGCTGGCCTGGAACTCACTGTGTAGACCAGGCTGGCCTCAAACTCACAGAGATCCGCCAGCCTCTGGCTCCCAAGCGCTTGGATTAAAGGTGTGTGCCACCACTCCCAGCTCCCTCCATAGATTTTTATTTATTTATTTAGAGACAAGTTCTCAATATATATCCCAGGTTAGCCTGGAATTCAAGAATTTTTTTTTTTGTCTCAGGTGTTGGGATTAAAGTATTTATCACCATGCCCATTCCTATTTAGGTTTAAAAAAAAGCAAGCTGCAAGGCTGGGGTTGTAGCCCAGTGGTTAGGGTTTGCATGGCATGGTCAAAGACCTAGATTCCATTGCCAGCACTGAAGGGAAAGAGAAAAAAAAAATTACCCAGGCAACTGGGTGCCAGTATTGGGTTTGTGCCAAAGAAAATTCATATAAAGAAAAGATGGGCTTGAAAAAAACAGCACCCATAATGGATTGGTACCTGGGTACGTCCAAATGTTTAACAAGGGGGGCTTGGTGGTGCACACCTTCAATCCCAAGCAGAAGCAGATAGATCTCTGTGAGTTCAAGATCAGCCTGGTCCACATAGTGAGTTCCAGGCCAGCTGGGGCTGCAGGGAGATCTTGTCTCAAAAAGACCAAATGTTTAACCAGCTAGTCTTGTGGTTGCTTGCTATTAAATAGAGAGCTATTCTGACTTTTTAAAGTTGAAGGTGAGCAGGGCATAGTGGTGCATACCTGTAATCCCAGCTCTCCAGAGGCTGAGGCAAGAGGCTATGAGGGCGGCTTGTGCTACATGGTGACTTCAAGGCCAACTTGGGCTATGTTGAAAGATCCTGTCTCAAACATAAGAAAAAAAAAAAAAAAATCAAAATTAAAAAAGAAGTTGAAAGGGAAAGGAAGATGAAAGGATTTTCTGCTTCCTGACCCATGGTGCTGGCATGACACCAGAACTGCCCAGTGCCTCCCTCAGCACCCAGGCCCTGGAGTCTGGACCAGTGACCACGGGCATGCTGGGAGGGCAGCTCTTGAGGGTAGAATCTGGTCCCTGGCCCCTTCCCCTTCCCCTGCCTACTACAGTAAAGAATCCCCTGTTGTCAAGGATAGACTTTTATGTTATTTATTTTAGAGTTTGGGTTTAGATAACCTGCTCTCTAAAACA